CCGCCTGGGATATAAGATTGAAGATGTCGTGTTTTTCAATAGATTACTGACAGGAGTCAATAGAGGTTGAGCATCCTTCATAAAGAATAGAATGAACCAGATTGATAAGAACAATTCAAGACCTTTAGAAGAAGACTTCATGGAATTATGCCGTGACATACTCCTACACCTTCCTACTGCGGAAAATAGTAGTACTGAATCCACAAAAAATCCCGCGAATAACGCCCAAGACAAGGATAAGAAAGGCAAGAACAAAGACAATGACAAGGACAAGGACACTGAATTCAAACCTGAACATAGGGGTAATGATGCGAGGACCTGCTATCATTGTCAAAAGGTTGGTCATATCCAGACTGACTGTTGAAAGAAATACCCTGAGAAATGTCCTTCGAACTCCAATACAAATAGGAACAAGGATAAAGACAAGAATGCGGAGAATACAGGTGCTGCTCCTGTTCACAACATCATAAAGCAAGTATTTTGCATCAAAGAAAAGGCCTATGCAAGTGGCCAGACAGGAAAAGATACCTGGATCCTAGACTCTGGATCGGGCGCCCATGCCACACCCCACAGGGATCTTGTCATGGCAAAACCTCAGAAGGTGAAAGTGATGTTGAAAATAGCAGACGGAACGGTGATCCCTGCTGCAGCTATAGAAGATACAAAGATTCCAGTGAAAGGGGCGGATATGCTGTTAAATGATGTCCACTATGTCCCAAAGTTAGAAGTGAATCTCATGAGTATGGGTAAGCTCGTACATCAGGGTTATACCTATAAGCAGTTAACATATGAGAATAATCATGCTATGTTGATTATGTCTCCCGACCGCATGTTCTCATTTACAGCAAGATTAAATGAGAATGATATCTATGAGATGGAAAGGCTGGTTACATACAGAGACTTGATCCGGTTTGCTATGCCCAATGGTGATTTTGAACCTGCGAACATGTTACGGGCGAAAGATGACACAATATTGGCACTACCTGAAAGGAATGACACAAAGGTTATAGAACTTACAATGATGCAATGGCATCAAAAGCTAGGACACCTGAATCCCGCGGATATCGCAAAAATGGCGGCAGATCCACAACTAGGAATGAGGATAAAGAGTGGCAGAGCTTTGCCATTCTGCAAGACCTGTGTACAAGCAAAAATGACACGTCCAACCTTCGCATCTATGACACAAGCTGTCAAGCCAGCAATGAGATTCTTCATCAATCTGACAGAGGGTGGAAAAACACTTTTCAACGGGAATGACACTCTCACTAGGGGGGGTGCAAGCTACTGGTTGGGTATAACAGACGATGCAACCCGTTATAGGTGAGCAATCCTTATGATGGGAAAGGAAGAATCTACTGCAAGATTAATGAACTTCATCACAGGTATTGAGACAACTACACAACATCGAGTTGAAACCCTACACTGAGATGATGGAGGAGAGTTCAAAAGTCAAGAACTTAAGACCTACTGCCAGAGCAAAGAAATAGCATATGAAATGACTACACCTGACACACCACAATCAAATGGCCCAGCGGAACGCGCGAATCGAATAGTTGCAGAAAAGACGCGAAGCCTACTATTTGATAGTGAATTAGAAAGAGAACTTTGGGGTGAAGCAATGCAAGCCGTGATCATGATGATCAACACATCCTCAACATCAACAAAGATATTTGGATGCAAGGAAGGAACACCACTTACACCTTTTGAAGCATGGACTGGGGTGCAACCTTCTGTCCATTGAATACGGAGATGGGGGTGCAAGGTCTACAAGAAGGATTTGAAAGTGTCAAATAAGCTTGTGGATAGGACTGACGGCAGGGAATGACAGCTGGTTGAATACCAAGGATTACACCAATATCATGTGTGGGATCCTGTTGCACATCATCTTGAGATTGCATGAGATGTCATATTTGATGAAGCTCTTGACATGGGTGCAAATACACCTGTAAATACAGTGAGGGAATCCAATGAATTGCCTAATGAATTGGACATTCTGAATGTCAGAGAAGGATGGCAGCACTGCTTACTACAACACCTAGCAAAGGAAAAGCCAGATGTTTTGAAGATGATTGCCAATGAGAACTTAGAGGGTGCAATTGATTCAATCTACCTTCTAGATGATGAGACACAGCTTATCATGAATGAAGAGTCTGAAGACCTCATTAATGAGAATGATCCTGTTCTAAGTGTTCTGACAGACCGACCAACTACGCTGGCGGAAGCCAAGAGAAGCCCAGACTGAGACTATTGACATGAAGCAATGGAAAAGAAGATTAAGATATTTGAACAGAAGAAGACATATATTGTCATTGAGAAGGCCTCAGAAATGAATATCCTTACAGGCAAATGAATATATGATCGGAAATTCAACAATAAGGGAGAAATCATCCACTTTAGAGCTTGCTGAGTGATTAGAGGGTTCTTGCAACAGCAGGGTATTCATTATACAAGATTGTATGCTGCAGTGATATCAGGGCCTACATCATGCAGCCTATTCACTATATCAACTGCCAAAGGATGGAAGGTCAAATTGATTGACTATGTATCCGCGTTTTTGAATGGCATACTACCACAGAACAAGATGATCTATATGCAACTGCCCACAGGTGTTAAGCACAGCAGAGGGGGCTTGGTGGGACTACTCTGCCAGAGTCTATATGAAATGAAGCAAGCCGCGAGGGTATGGTATTTCCTAGCAATGGAACACCTCACCACATTGGGATTCAAGATATCACCTTATGACGGCGGATTCCTATATCACCCTGTTCACAAGATCTATCTGACATTGCATGTTGATGATTGTCAGGTGACGGGACCTCAAGAACAGCAATTAGACTGGGTATTGAGGGAGATCACAAAGAGATTTGAGACAAAGAATGTCAAAGAGACCAAGCCATATCTTGAGATGGAGATCAAACGCCAGAGGAATGGTGATCTAGTGGTTACACAGAGCCGTTATATTGAGGAGATCCTTGAAGATTTCGGCATGGATAAGGTGAATCCGGCTGGCACCCCGATGGCGGCCGGCATACAACTGGAATTCTCACCTGATGAGAGGGAGGGATTGGATGATGACTTTACAGCTACAAGATATCATCAAGGATTGGGATCATTGCAATATTTGGTCTCAAGCAGCTGGCCAGACCTGGCATTCGCGGTCAACTATCTCTCGCGTTTTAACTCACGTCCACACAAAGCATGTTGGGCAGCGTTGAAGCATGTCCTACATTATGTCAAGAAGACGAAAAACCATGGCATATTATACAGGAAGGAGATCAGTGATGTGGGCCTGAGTCCTGTGACATACTGCGATTCAGACTGGGCGGGGGCGGATCCTCAATACAAATCGACTACCAGCTACATTATATTGATTAACAGGTCACCAATCTCATGGCGGTCGCAGAGACAGACATCTATCACCAAATCAACCACAGAAGCCGAATATATTGCAGCTAGTGAGACAGCTTGTGAGGTAATCTGGTTGAATGATATGTTATATGACACTGGGTTGATGAATGATGAAAAAGCAAAAATATGCTCACACCTACAAGTTGACAATAAGGGAGCAATTGATCTAGCAAAGGGGGAATCCTTAACATGAAGGTCGTGTCACATTGAGATTAGATATCATATTCTCCGCGATTTGGTTGAAAAAGGGGAAATCATGATGGAACATGTTGATTCTACAGCGAACATAGCTGACAGGCTCACCAAGCCACTGGCGAAGCCTGCATTTGAAGAATTTGTCAAGAGGGTTGGCATTCAGGAAATTGAGAAGAAGGAATGATTGAATGGTAATGATGATACAGCGGATCAATGGATTTTGCATGTATTTCTTGATTTTTACGGTTATTGCCGTACGGACGCCTTTCCTAATGAGGAAATCAGGGTCCGATTCATGTAATTAATTATTATTGCATTTTTGAAAGATTTGAGGATGGGGGAGGCCCCGGGTGGCGGCTTATTATAGGCCACGGTGTAGCAAGGGGGGGTGTTGGTGATTACTACACCTACCCTAGTCACGTGCCACCCCAACCTATCCATTTAGTGTAACTCGCGTAGTTAGATTACAACACAACACAACAACATTATCCTCCAAGACATATCACTACCTGACCTCACTTAATACATCTTTTCTTGTAATTTGAAACTACTCAATTATTTATCATCAATTCTACAATCAATTCAAAATCAATTTAAAATTAATTTAATACTGAAATTGTTCTTGAATTTAATAATAAAGTAAGTATTTATATAATTTACACTGAATTGATTATTAACTGATTTTCAATCAATTATTTGTTAAGAGTCCCGCGGTTGATCAGCTCTTCTACTAGCAGGCGCTGATGATGATTGAGCTCTTTTGCCTCAGTAGCCTACATTATTAATTACTTAAATATATAAATTGAATTTATTTTTATTACTATAATTAATTAACATTTAATTTAAAATCAATTTAATACTGAAATTATTCTTGAATTTAATAATAAAGTAAGTATTTATATAATTTACACTGAATTGATTATTAACTGATTTTCAATCAATTGTTAATTACTTAAATATATAGATTGAATCTATTTTTATTATTATAAGTAATTAACAATTAATTCAGAATTAATTCAAAATCAATTCAAAATCAATTTAATACTGAAATTATTCTTGAATTTAATAGTAAAGTAAGTATTTATATAATTTACACTGAATTAATTATCAACTGATTTTCAGTCAATTGTTAATTACTTAAATATATATATTAAATCTATTTTTATTATTATAATTAATTAATAATCAATTCAGAATCAATTCAAAATTAATTTTAAATTAATTTAAAATTAATTTAAAATTAATTATTAAATATTTTTATCTTAATATATTTTAAAATTCTGTAAAATATCTTTTAATACTCTATATAAATTTATCTGTTTATTTAATTAATTATAAATCAGCTATATGTACCGTGGGAGTGATCGTTAAGTGGGTGATCACGTTAAGTTAAACAAATCATTTCAAGCAACAGAATCAGAGGTTGTTTAGCTGCCTCTGCTGTAACAACATGCGATGCTCTCAGAAGGAATACCTGGCGATGCACGCTTGGGGAAGCTGTAGATATGTCTGATATCCACCTATACATGCCAGGAAGGATGGACCCGGCGCAAGAGAGTCAGTCAGCAGTTGCCAATTTGGCGGATTCCCCCCACTCGAAGAGTCCACTCGCTGCATCAGACAACGCATTTTTGGAGTATCTACATCGATGTTCAGATTCAGTGCTCAGGAAGATTTCTCTCCATCTGGAAGAACTCATTGATTATCCCCGTCTGACTCGGTTTTTAGATCCATCATTAATCAAGAAAGTATGTGGTCTCGCTGGGCAGGATGGCGTTGTTCGTTCATTTTTGTCCTCCTACTATGTTATTATCTCGGATCTCTTGCTGCTCTGACAGCAGTTCCAGATCCGGACACCCCTCATACATCTCCAGAGCTGGATCCGGTATCTATATCAACAACCAGTGACTGGCTGAATTTATTGGGCAAGATTGAGAGCTTTGTCAGGTCGCAATTCCGTTTTCTAAGCCGCATCACACCTTCTCTAGAGAGCGGATTCCCGAGCATTTTCCAGATGTTTCCTACCGCTCAAGATCTAAGGCAGAGTGTCAATACCTCAGAAACATTCCTCCAGCATGTGGCCACAGAAGTCCTTACTATATCGTGAGTATTGTAGATTTTTGCAAGTTCTATTTTTCACTTGGCCTCCAGAAGGCAGCCAATGATTTTGTTTCGGCTTACTGATCATACCACTGGCAGGCCATATGGGAACTGGACTGACCAAGGATGGAGTCTGAGGTTTCGCGGAAGTGTTTACAAGCAACCCAATATTGCGGATAGAATGTTACACACCCTTGCAAGCATGTTTTTACTCGGTGCTTCGATTAAAAAGCTCCCCCCAGCAAATTATGCGCACTCCCTCAATATGACACGAAGCGTGTTTATTCTGAAACAAAGTCATACGAAAGTCTCGTTTCATGTGACCCCTGACACGTCTCTGGACGCTCATAGTGAAGACACATTGCTTTGGACGGAAGGGCAGGACATTGAGGTCCCCGGCGTCACGAATATGGAAGGCGATTTCGATTCATTTATCGAGATTAAGAACGTGTCAGGGGCGTTTCCGATACCTGGAAACGAAACTCGCAAAACGCAGCGTCTCAAATTGCATGCGTATGGGACGGATACTGGAAATGCCACAGCGTACCTCATTCCACCCGAAGGGCTCACGCTGATTAGTGATATCGATGATGTCCTTCGAGTGTCGAAAATATTCTCAATAAGGGAAGGGCTGAATAACCTCTTTGGCCGACCTTTTGTTCCCTGGATGAATATGCCTGAGATATATGCGAACTGGTCAAGAAGCCTGCCGGATCTACACTATCACTACCTAACAACAACTCCCGAACAACTGACTCGCCCTTACATGGATTATATCTTCAAGACGTATCCGACCGGCACTTTTGATACTAGAATTGTGAATTTCACTGATTTAGGAGCGACTTTGTCAATCCGCGAGTTTTTGCTTGATAAGGTCTTCCAGACTTTTCCAAAGCGAAAATTCATCATTGTAGGAGATACAACAAATTTGGATATCATGTCATCATATCCCCAACTTGTGACAAAATACCCCGGCCAGGTCCAGTGTATACTCTTGAGAAACACATCAGCTTCGGACAGCAGCAATCGTGTACCATACAATACCAAGTGGTTCAAAGGACTAGACCAACAAATGTACATGTTTTTTCGCGTTCCTGTAAGTTCCTCCAGTGTCTCCAGTCATTAGGTTTCAACCGCATATTGTTATTAGGTTTTTATGGACAATTATTCAATAACTTTGTTGACTTTTTCCTGACTAGGATGACCTCAAGGGGCTGGCTATAGAGGACGGGCGATGCTATAATGCATCCATTCCCCAAAATGTTACTTTCGGATGGCAAGGCCTTCCTTTTGGCAGCAACCCATGATTTCAATAAAACGTGTATTTCTCGAAGGACATATCTGGGGACTCCCTTCTTTATTTCATGGCGTTTTGAATTTATCATGTGTGTGTCTGTTTCGAGCTTCCGTTGCAGGTTAAATTGCGAACCAGTCCTGCTCATGCGAATGATTTCTTATTCTATCGTTATAACTGAGCTCGGTACTTAGCTTATTTTTCAATAATGAATGATGAATTTTAATCTCAGTTGAAACAGATTCTTTTCTATTCTGTTTTTTTCTTTTCTTTTTTTTCCATTTTTTGAGAGTGGTGGACTTGTCAAATCCTTTTGAGGGTGCGCCTCCGGTCAAAAACGCTACGTGCTCGCATTAGCTGTTGGAGGTGGTTGATTGTCATTATCTTGTCGGACCATATTGTAAGAGAGGTTGAACGTGGTTGGGTGTTACTCTGTAACGTAATCAACAACTCAACACCTACTTCCACCCGACGCCCGTCTGTGTAAATGATGGAGGTGGAAGGTTTGGTTGATTGTACACTAATCTAGCCGCGCAGCATTCTGTTGGCCGTTACGGCCGTTGCGGTTAGCGATCCCACTAGATCACGTGACCCCTCACTATATTAAACTCTTGTAGATAGATCTATCAATACAACCTTCAACTATTCTACAGATTATAGTCTGAATGACATGTTTCTCTTTTTAGAATATTGTATTAACATTTTTGATGAGAATAGTTTATCTTTTTTGAAAAGACTCTTACTTTTTATTAGAGATATTTCATTTTCTCTGAATCTATTAGTTAGTAGATTTATATACTTTTAACTTTTAAAAAGTATGTTCTCTATTATGAAGGATATTTTTTTTACATATCTAGAAGAAGCAGAGTTATCTTGATATAAATAATACATCTGTTACTTCAGAGTTCAGCTCAAGGCTCAGAATCACCTGCTCTACTAGATAACTTATTAATAAGATAATTACTTATTATGAGAAAGTTTCTGAGTTATAAGATGAGACTTATATCAGTTTTCATCAGAGTATGAAATTTAATAATAAAACAATGAAGAAGCTTTAAAATAAGAAAAAACAGAGTTAATATTTATCTACAGAATCTGTTTATTTCAACTTATTAAATTCTTTATTATCTCTTACTCTCAGAATGCTAACTTTTAATAGTGATCTGAATTAATTTATCTATTACACTGTAGACAATCTTATGAATCTTATATAGATAATACTCTGAAATTAAATAACTGCAGCTGATACTATATAATATCTCACTATATCTGTTCTCATATTATTATTATTATTATTATTATTCTTCAATTATAGATGTATACAGTCAGAGACTATGACATCTATCTGAGAACTTTTAGTTCTCAGAGTTTTTCCTATATCTGTAAAGTTAACTATTATACATTCATCAATTTCAGATATACAAAATTAGAAAATTTCAGCTTAGAATACAAAAACTGTTTATAAATTGCAGTGTGTTAATATCTTCTGATACTTTGAAATCATTTGACAGTATCATGACAAAGAAAAAGAGAACACAGTCTTAAAGATAGACATATTAAATAGATAGATAGAAAGAAATTGAAAGAAAAAGATAAAGTAAAGAAAGACTGTAATAAAACAAATTATTAAAAGATAGTATATAGCTGTTTTAACAGACTATATCTGATTGATTTTCTTCTCTTCATATTCAGATAATTCTGAATTTAGTCATTTTCTTATAGCTGCTTGAGTTTCTGATAGAAAGTCTATTAAGTATTTAATTTCTGTCTTAGTTGAGAATAAGAATCTTATATTTAATTGATTTAGATCATACTTCTCTTTCAATCTGACTCTGAGACTATTGTATAATATACAGTGCATTACAATATACTCAGAATTCTCATTTATATTATAGAATGAGTATTCTATTAAGTCAAATCTATCATCAAATCTTTGTATATAAGATTTAAAATAGCCATGTTCTAATTTCAGCTGTATTATAGATGAGAATATTTTCTTTTTATATTTAATTAAACAAGATTTTCACTTGAGTTTTATTTTAAATCTTGAATAATGTATACTCTTCTTTTATTTCTACCAGCTTTCATTTCACTTGTCTAAACAAGATTCTTTTATTTTTCTCTTTATAAAAGATCAGAATATAATTTTTTAAATAGATCTACTTAATTCTGCACTCTTTTTTACAGCTGAATCAGTCAATTTATTGTCATGAATATTCATATAAGCAGAAACTCAGTACAGATGAATTTTCAGCTTTGATATTCTTCTCTTTTGAATTTTCAAAACAGAGTTTAAGATCAGTTCAAGATTCATTTGATTATTATAAATCTGACTATTTCTAAGTCTTTTTAAAGCAGCTTAACTATCAAAGAATATTCATATCTCTTTCAAACAATTTCCTCTTTTATAAGATTTTATTTCAATAAGTTTGAAAGCTTTCACTATTATAAATAGTTCAGCATCAAAGACTTTACATTCATAGTCTAGATTTCAGAAATCTGAGATGAAATTGATATTATCTTCAGTATAAGCAATGTCTGCGCCTAATCTATTTAAGTTCTCATTTTTTAAGTCATCTGAATAAACCAGAATAGAGTCTTTTATATTGATTGTAGAAATTCTCTTCAAATACTGTTTATATTCTTTCTCTTTTGATAGTTCACTTATTTGTAAGTCTATAAGAGATTCAAGCTTTTCTCTTCAGAGAGATAACTTCTCATGATCAACTTTTTTAACATTTAAAGAAGAAAATTGATTTTTAATCAGAGAGTATAGTCTGTACTAGACTGGCCGCCGGGATCATGAATTTCACGTTTGGTCTCATTTGGTCTGGTCTCATACATTTCTTGGCGTGAATCCCACTGGGACTGGCTATGAAAAAAACAGGTAAAGTGACTATATATCAAATCTTAAAATGAAATCATGACTTGAAAAAAATGAGAAAGTGGTTTCATTTGATCCCATTTAGTCTCATTCTTGGCATAAAGTTACTATTTTTAGACATTTTAAGGTTTTTTTTAGACTATTTTTAATTTTTTAAAAAGTAACACTTTTTGATAACACTCAAATGAGATTTAAAGTCATTTAAAGCAATAAAAATAATTTAAATTGAGAAGTGAAAATCATGGTCTCATTTGAAAAATGTGACAAGAGTAGACAGTAAGTCTCACTGAAACAGTATGAGACTACTATCTAATGTTAAAACTGTGTAATGGGATCAGTCAAATTGGTAATGAAACTATCAAAAAATCTGGTCCTGGTCCCAGACACGGTCACACGGTCAGTCTAGTCTGTACAATTGAGAAGATATTTTCTTTAAAGAATTATTTTCATTTCAATCAAGAAATCTATTTCAATTCAGTTCATTTTCAGAGTTAGTTGATGAAAATGAAGAGAAGACTCTTTCTCTGATTATATGATTTAAGCTTATCTTTACAACTCTCAGAGCATAGTTTATATAGATCTTTTCAAATCTAATAACAGAAGAAGAAATTGAAGCTTCAATTTTCATTGCTTTAATAGAAGATGATTTGAATGCTCTCAGAATTCTTCTCAAGACTCTGTTTTACAGACTTTGAAAGAGTTCAGTGAAATTCTCTTGATTATTTTATCAAACTTGAACTTCATAATCAGCTACTGATGTAATACAGACTATATATAACTGTCTCATAGCCTGAAAGAATAGACCTCTCTCTGTATTTGATAGTCTGATTATATTGTTCAATAGTCTTTCTATCTTGATAGTTCTTTGTTGAATGTGATATTTAAAATTCAACTTGGAGTTTAATCATACTTCTAATTATTTGATATTTACACTGAGTTTAATCTCTCTATTTAAAAGAGTTAGAGATAGTTCTTTCTCATTGAATCTAGAAAAGAAATGAATTAACTCAGTTTTATTTATATTAAATTAAATTTAACTGATATCTGCTCTAATAAAGATTTTCTTTACAGCTTCTTTAATTACTTTTAAATTCTCTTTGATAGTTTTTAAGCTGTAGACTAGATCAATATTATTCATATGACTTAGAGATTGCACTATTCTCATATTTCTATTTTTGAATAGATATGCAGTGTATATTGCAAATAAAATGAGTGAGATTGAAGATCTCTGTGATACTTCTATTTTTATCTCAGTCTTGTCTTATTTCATTTCATTAAAGAAGAGTTGTATAATTCTTTTAGATATGAAACAGTTAACTCATTTTATTAGAGAAAGTGACAGTTTTAATATCTTTAATATCTGAATTAACTTTGACTTTGAAACATAATCAAATGCTTCTTTTATATCAATAAAAACTGCAGTTGAGACTAGATTCTCATGCTTTATTATTTGAATATTATGAATAACTGAGAGAACAGTGTCAATTGTAGAACACTGTTTTCTATCTTTCATTTATTCACTGAATAAAAGAAAATCATCTATAGAGCTTATAAAAGATAGTTGAGCAGCTATTATCTTTTCTAAAACCTTTTCTAGATAGTTCAATAGAGATATTACTCTATATATATGATTCAAAGGTTGCTTAAGCCAGCGTATGATTACAGGCGTACGCCGGCTTCTTATATTATAATCTCATACACTAAATTAATTAGCATATGCTATGGCCCCTTTACACGCGTACACTAGTAGTTCGGAAGCAGCTGCGTTATTATTCAACAGTTATACATTCTTTCAAACCACATTCTCTCTCACCAGATTCAGTCACACCCATGTGACCATGTTGTACACTCTAGCTTCATGTGAATTAGCTCACCACTAGTGTTTCGCGATCATGTGACCTATCTCTGATTCAGCTAGTGTCTTACATACACTCTCATAAAGAAACTTCCACTATATTATATCACTCATTCACTAACTTTTCTCATTCTTTAATCATCATCTTCATCATTGTCATCATTGAATATCATCATCTCATTCAAGATTTCTATCTCTTCTTCTATTCAACTCTTTTTATCTGTTCATCTATCACATCATACATGTTTCTGACAATGATTCCCTGTTTCCACAGTAAGTGTCATTGTAGTACTCATACTGAGCAGTTCATTAGCAGTAAGTGTAACACATTGTGAAATGTGATCAGAACTTGTTTATCTTCTAACAATTATCAGAATGATGTATTATTATGAATGATGACACATCTTCTTCATCTTCTTATACACTCTTGACTGTTTCTTCTTCTCAGCAGGTTTCTGATCATGTTTTCTGGCATGATTTTATGTGAATGCAGATGCTGATATGTTTGTTTTTATTTATATAGAATCTTCATGTGTTGACAGATTCAC